ATATAACATAGACATATATGTATATAACATATACATATATATATATAATATAATATAATATAATATAATATAATATAATATAATATAATATAATATAATATAATATAATATAATATAATATAATAATATAATATAATATAATATAATATAATATAATATAATATAATATAATGAAGTATAATATAATATAATATACTATAATATAATATAATGTAATATAATATAATATAATATAATACAATACAATGTAATGTAATGTAATGTAATGTAATATATATATATATATATATAGAGATATGATATGATATGATATGATATGATATGATATGATATGATATGATATGGTATTATGTTATATTATTTTAGGCATATTAGTTATATTAGTTATTGTTTTTATATTATATATAAATATTTCAATATAAATATAAATAAACATAAATATACATAATATAAACATATTATACATGTACATACAGATATACGTATAACCTTTGAAACCTGAAATCGAGACCACGACAATCCCTCCCTCATGCTCCTCTGAGCCGCAAAGGCAGGAATTCGAGAATTTCTTTCCAACGCTTGAAAGCTGAGGTGTTGAGGTTACCCTCAACCCCCAACCAATGCCCTATGAACCCTAAACAATCCCCACAGGAATGAGCCTTCGACCCAAAGAGCCCTAGAAACCGGCAGGACCCGAAACCCCACGAGTGCAAAGTTATTTGAAACCCTTTCCCAGATAAACCCTAAACCCTAGAACACCGGGCATGTGTTCCTTACGGCTCCCAAGCTTGCAAGCCCCAGAGATTGGCGAACCCTGGGTTTCTGCGAGGAGGTCCTAAACTCTTAGCTTAACTATGTAAGGAGATCATGATACGGAACTGAACCGGAACTGAACCCGAAAACAAGCTAAATCCCAGACCCCGAACCCTAAAGCCTAACATTGAAAGGCTCTTGAACGTACAGGGCTGTCGGCCTTGAGGCTAGAAGGTCAGGCTTCGGCATCTCTCGACTCACACTCGCCGGCCATCCGGTCAGAGGGGACAAGTCTACGGCTTACGTGCTTGGGGCTTGAGGGCTGCAGTTTCATTCTAAGATCCAGTGAAGTCTGAGTCTAGCTTGAACTTTACAATGCTGTCTGGTACCCTGAACCCTAAACCCTGAACCCTAAACCCCAATGGTTCTACACATCTGTGACCAGCCGCGGGGCGCGCCTCTCTGCAGCTCCGGAGCCCTACTGTAAGCACTCCCATCAAAGTCTGGAAAATCAAAGTCCTTCCTGATATAGCGCCTTAAATCCCAACGAACACGAAGCTGGAAACAGGGATGCTTGATGGCCTCTCGGGCAACAGCTGGTGCATTTGCCTTGCCCCGGCACCCCCGCCGAGCCCCACAAGGCCAATACCTTGGCACAGCTCAAGGGCTCATGCGATTCTTTCGAAGGGCTTGTGGAGCTCATAGTTGACTGGAGATACACCCCGGAGAGTTTGGATAGGGCATAGGGTTTCTTTTCGGGAAGTATGCATTGCTAAGCTTTAACTTACTGGCACCGTGCCGTGAACCATGAAATAAGCCGATTGGGGGTTACTCCGCTTTCTCTCTCTCTCTCTCTCTCTCTCTCTCTCTCTTGACCGCTGCCCGCACCCTTGCCCAAACAGCTGGAATTAAAAGACCAACCGCGCTGCTCGACATCTGCTCGACACCTTGAGCAACTGAATTACATCAGGACATCTATCTCGTGAGCCTCATTGCTTTACTCTCTGGAAACCTAAGCCTGGGCCGTACAAGATCAAAGCCCTTGATGAATTAGAATAACAAAAATGATAATGATAATAACAATAATAATAATAACAGTAATAGTAATAATAATATTGACAATACTAATCTGCAAGAGCAGATTCGATGTCTCAGAACCAGTCGGCTGACAGGTTTAGGCTCTCACAACTCGGACATGCCAGGCGAGGTTCGTAGGTGACAGGTTTAGGGTCTAGGGTTTGGGGGCTCGAAACACTGAACCCTCATCGGCTGACACTGACCCCCATGGTTGAGCCCGAAAGGTCCTCGTCCACGCCCTTTTGCTTGGTGCACACACTAAAGAGCTCCGAGCAATCGGCCCTACCCTACGGTGAAACACCTAGTCTTCTAGTGTTGCCGGCTACCACTATGTACATCTTTATTGCTGACGTTGTGGCTGGTAGTATCTTCATGCTGGTTGTTAGAAGTGTTCGAAGTACTAGTGCTGACGATGTTGATTATGGGTTTTGTTGGTGCAGCTGCTGTTGTTGATTCTAGTGAACTTTGCAATTGTCGTCTTGTGAGACCGGCTTGCATGAAGATCCTTGCTGGATCTACTTCGGAAACGGAATAATTATACTCCTCTAATTTCTGCTTTACCTCCCTGCCGTCACCACGGCCGTGCGGCAGCAACTTGTGCTTAGCACAAAAGCCGAACTGGTCGTTGACATAGCCTGTGAGCTGTGCGGCAGGTGGTTTAGAAAGCGAGGTGTTCAGATTGTGGAGCACACAAATGATGGACTCGTTTCTGACGTGCTACCCTTCCGGACTCATAAGTGCCATAAGTGTTCTTGACCATCCAAACGTCAAAGCTCGTAGGCCACTGTGGGCTGCATGCTCTCATCACAACACCTCGCGGCCCAATAAAGCAAAGCTCCTGCCAAATCTTTGTGGCTGAGGCGGATCTCACAAACTTGTTTTGCCGGACTCTGCCAATGGCCGGGGGGATCGAGGTGAAGTCCTGTCACCAGGAAAGCCATGGGGTTCGACATGCGGCCTAGCCAATTATCTGGTTGGCCCTTTAAAGCCTCTGAAAAATATCAGTAAACAGGGTCTTCTTAAGCCCAATAAGGGAAAATATAAAATATCCCAAAGGCCTACCTAGTTATCATCAGATGGGACCATATAGTCTGAAACATGGGAGGCTCAAACTATGGGTAGCCGAAACACGCCCCCTAACCCGACGAACCCCAACTCCACAGCTTCGCACATCTGGGCCCACAGCTAAAGCGTAGGGCCTAGCGGATGTGGGAGCTTCAGACAATCAGGGACCCCCAATGGTAGGATCCTCAATTCAAGGCCCCCGCCAAACAAGGGTATCTCAACCCTAAACCCTAAACCCTGTCCTTTTCGGCGACATGGGGTTGCTTCTGGGCGTCGTCGGGCGCCTGTTGGGCAGCAGCTGCTTCGTTGCTCCTTCTTGCCTTTCTCTGGCGATTTGGGACGAGGGTTCGGAATAATTCGTGGAACAGCCATGCATCAAGGATTTCAGGGCTACATAAATGTGCATACATGTATAAGATAGAATAGAAAGGAGGAACGATAGATACTTATGTAATTACGTGTGTATGTATGTATGCATACATGTGTATTTCTATCTAGCTATCTATCGATCTGAACCTTCCTTCTTGTCGACGTCTGCTTCGGACCCTTTAATAGCGGAGGGTCCACGGCTTCACACTTGGGGCTTCCGTGACACAGGGCATGAAGGGCTTCGGCTCGAGCTTAGGCTGAGAAGTCTGGGAGGTGGCTCCGAAAAGGGGACTCGACTAAGCCCTAAACCCTAAACCCCTAAACCCTAAGCCCTAAACCCCTAAACCCTTTTTTTGCAACAGGCTTTCCACTTTAAACCCGAAACCCCTGAACCCTGAACCCGAAACCCTAATCTCGACATGGATGCGAAACGAAGGAGTGACAAGCTAAGACCCATGGGAAGGCTTAGGCTTAATCACCGACCCAAAAGATCCTAGTAGTCCTTATGGTTTTGGGTACCCATAGAGGCCCCAAAGTCCCCAAATAATGAATACTTGGACCCTTATGGCAAACTCAGACCAGGCCCAGAAAGGATGTCTGCACGGCCCTGGCCTTGAGACGGCATAGTGCGATGCAGCCTGCTGGGCAAGGCTTCAGGCTCGAGCGCACGCAGGGGAGCGCGTGGCTCGCCGTCGTAGGCAAGTATGACCATCGCTAGGACTGTTTTCAGCACCTCCAGCGTCACCATCATTACAAGCACCACCACAACCTCTGAATAATTGACAATCACTAGCACCAGCACCGAAGCCCTCCATACATACCCATCATCTCCTTCCTCGTCGCTATGTTAGTTAGGGTCCTGATATTCACCTTCGCCCGATCACCATGAACTGTTCCTTTACATACCGGCCCTTCGCACCGACTTCCAGAACGGAAAGAAGGCGCTGTCGCATCTTTTGGAGCTACATGGTGGGACATCTGTGAAGAGAGCTTGACGAAGGGCTGAATTCTTTTCTGGCTTCCTCGTTGTGGTCCGATAACTACATATGAGTGACTTTATGACTCCTCAGTAGATCTAGGATGAGCTCAGTGTTTTGAAGTGCCTGCTTCCTCCAGGCAAGCACCCAACCTGTCTGCAAGACGTGGCACCACTTCGTTGTGGTAGGTCCGGGCTCCCGAACAGGACGCTACAAGAAAACAACACACGTAAAAATGAGCGACAAGCCCAGTGCCACAACAGTAAGCACGCCTTGGATGGCTTGTCCCTTTCCATCCGACCACCTTGGCAATATAATTTATTTATTTGTTTATGTATATATATATATATTTTTTTTTTTGATGTTGATTGGTTCGGGCTATTGCCGACTTGGCGGTATCGTGTTGTGATCTTGAGGTCCGGATAGGGTCACGTTCACGTCTGAGGACCTCTTCCCAAGGTGCTCGGGCTTGGCAGAGAACTGTGGGGCTGATGGTTCGTGATCCCTAAGGGTCCAAGTATTCATGATTTAGGGACTTTGGGGCCTCTATGGGTACCCAAAACCATAAATAAGGACTACTACTGTTGATGATAGAAATCCTGCATTACCTTGAGGACCCTAAACTATGGGAATTATGGTATATTCCTTATTATGGGAAATGCAGGATTTATGCCATGAACCGTAGGACCCTTTGGGAATCTTGAGCTGAAGGCTTCGGCCCTTCGGGTTTGCTTCCGTGTCCGATTGGCCCCTACCCTGCCGGAGCAGACTGAACTCTGTCCCTTACCATCGAAGGACTCATATTATAAGGCTTTTGGGCCCAAAGACCCTATTATATAAGGCTTTTGGGCTATTTTGATGCTAAGGGTGTTGGTGAACACAGTGGCCGAATCGATGTCCACCACCCCAACGCGAGTCGGCAAAAAAGTTTCGTGTAGCTTTGCGGTTCCAGGCGGCATTCAGAAACGCTAAACCCTTTCAATCCCCAGATCTCTAGGCATGCTTGGGCCCTGGGTTTGTTCGTGGGAGAAGTGTGGCGCTTGAGAAGGCCGCAGGCGCGTTTGAGCTGAGTGCTGTGGTCTCGGAGCGGCCCCCAAATCGAAGCCAATGTCTCTTAAGCCTGTTGGTATGTCACCTAAACCCTAAACCCTAAGCCCTAAACCCTAAACCCGATCTAAACATCCCAAGGGGCGAATTTCGGTCAGAAGCTCCCTGGTCAGACGAGTCTGCGCCTGGGAGGTCGAACGAGTCCCAAGGGCCATATGGGACTTTCCGTGGTACCAAATTTGAGGTCCCTTATAATATGGATCCTACTATTTAGGATACTATACCAGGGTCCCCTATTTTCGGAAACCCCCATATCCAGGCTGGCTTGGTACCTTCTCTGTTCCCAAAGGAGGTCATGACTGAATAAAAACACCAGTTTGACAATGAGGTAGTACTAGCAATAGACAAGATCGTCGTAATATGTGCTACCAAGTCCTGCTTTTGGAAAGGCACGCCCAACAGGTTCAAGCAGTCTTTGGTGTTGGCAGAGTGCTGCAGAGATTGCTTGTAGCCAAGAAGGTCCGAGAAACGCAAGAGCCCTGACGCAAATTCTTATGACCGACCTGCAGAATCGAAAATGTCAGGCCGACTAAGTGAAAGACTCAAGACCACTGCACACCCAATCCAAACAGAGATCGCAGTTTGCGTGTCAGATTCGAACCTGCGATCCTAGCCCCTATGAGCAATCCTAAGTGCTCCGTTTCCAGAACCCCTGAGACCTCAACCGGAGAGCGTCAAAGACTCCCGACTCGCAAGCTTGTTCCTTTTTGTGGTTTATATTCAAGATCCTATAAGGTAATCGCAAGAAGGAGCTACTATGGAGGTTTTGGGGCAACACCCACACACCCAAAGCCTCCCTTTTGCATCCAGGACTCTGTTCGCCAGCCGGGAAAGCGCAACATTCAAAAGCCTCCCTAGAACCCTAAACCCTGAACCCTGAACCCTAAAACCCAAAACCCAAAACCCTAAAACCCTAAACCCTAACCCTAACCCTAAACCCTAAGCCTCCCTAAGTCTCCCTGCCTCCATTTCGTTCTCCACGGGCCTCTCGGCCCGCAGATCCGACTGCTCGCAGCGACGGACGATCCTAGGCACCGCTATTTTTTTTGAGGGGGCATATGCTTAGCTTGTGTTACCACCCATACATATATATACATATATATATATACACACATATTTTTATGCATATATGCATGCCACTCATATCTTTATGTCCGCATAGCTAAAGTGAACTACATTCGAAATTCATTTGTGCGACCAGTTGAATGACTTATTTTCTCAGAGCTTGGTGGAGAGGGTGATGCTGCTCGGGCGGCATAGGTCCAAACACTGGAGGGATGTGGGCTTGGGGATCTGGGCGTGTTAGGATTCGACTCGCACGCTCGCACGTAGCAGGCACGGCCTTACGATGACCGCCCCAATCGCTAGAGGAACATGAAGGAGTGTCCACTTTACAAAAGCAGTTCCAAAAAAGTTTCGGGTTTAGGGGTCGAATCACATCACTTCCCCTCAATACAGCCCTAGAAACAAGAAATCGTTAATTGGGCAATATGGAGCTGCGGAAAAGTCGGCGGCTGCGGAACCAAGTGAAGCCAAGCTGCCAAAGGAAATGCTCCTCCCCGGCTTCGGGTTGAGGGTTTTTGAGATTGGGGGTGGCTGGACCTATGGGTCATTTTCGTTTCGGCGTTCTAATTCTTCTCGCAACACTCAGCATTTTAAAGGATGGCTGGTTTCGCAAAATCATCGAAAGTCCTCTCACTCCCCAAGCAGATGCTCGTCCGACAGAACCCTTTAAACCCGTAGTTTCAACCTGAGCTCCCGAAATTATCAATCCTGAACCCGGCACCTCCTTTCTTACTTGGCCGGCCTCCATGGGACCCTCCTTGCCACCGCTGACGGCGAACCAGTCGCTGCGCATCATCAGGGCCTGCATGCCCACCTGTGTTTCTGCTCTATCGGTTGGGGTTTGGGTGCAGGGTTCAGGACGTAGGGTTCAGGGTCTATGTTCGAAAATACAGCGGGCTGGTCAATGAGATATTTAACTACCCCTATGGCTGACCAAGCCGTGCATCGGTGAGATGCAGGACTTTCAGTAGGGTCTTCGGTCTTGTTGGCACCCACATCGCAAACCAAGGGCTGGCACCGTAGGTACATGCGTCGGCGATCTCGGCTGACAGTGTGCTTAGGACCTCCTGTGGCTCCGATTACCTGTCATCGTGATACTTAAAAGGGTCAGAAGCTACTGCCTTAAATAGGGTTTGGGTTACAGGTAACTACCGTGACACAGCTCAAACAGGCAGGGGCAACCTGGCAGCTACCTCAGCTAGGATGTAAGTTTTGGGTTCGGGGACCCTGCGCAGACAGAGCACTCCAAAACTCTTGAAATGCTGCTCCGGAGACCTAAACCACCCAAAGGCTTCGGTTATTGGGATGTGTCTGTAGCTCAACAAACTAAACTCCTGAAACCTATGCCCCAATACCCCAGAATCTGAACTCTGATTCCCGACACCCCATACCCCGTATTCTGAAATGAATCCACCCCACACCCGACCGACCGTAACACCCCAAAGCCACATATGCACCAAAATACAGCTTTAAACTTGAACTCCGCATGCTCTGACCCAAAAACTCTAGAATCCCTAAGCCCCATGCTCGACCTCAACCTTTGCTACACCCCTCACCCATCTCCCCCTCACCTTGAAACTTAAACCTACCCATAGGCCCCTAAGTAGTTCCTTCTTATGGTTTACATTTAGAACCCTATAAGGTAATTCCCAAAAGGAACCATTTCGGGGCTTATGGGTACCTAAACCCGAAGAAGCTCTGCAAGTACCTGCGCCGTCGCGAGCAGGAGGGCGCCAAGAGGAAAGGGCGGTGGTGCCGCCATGGCATCGGGACCTCCCAGAGGGTCCCCTTAGAAGCCGGGTTCGATTAGGCTCTACCTAAACCCTATAAAGCCTGAACCCTAAACTCATGAACCCTAAACCCTAAACCCTGAACCCTAAACCCTAAATATGTCTTGGAGGCTTGGTCTTGTGAGAGCTTCGGGGGTTGAGGCATGCGTCGCTTAAAGTTGGAGGGTTTGGAGTCGACAGAGTTTCAGCCATTTGTAAAGCTCAGGGGTTTATTGTGTCTGAGGTATTTAACTTCAAGGTTCTCTGGGATGCTACTTGCCCTGCTCTAGAAGTTCTATGGGCTTCAAGGCATAGCGGATGTGGAAGGCTACAGTGTCGTTGTTATTCATCCAATTCTCTTTCATTCAGGGTTGTTCGGGGGCTAAAGGTGTCGACGGACCAGGGTCTGCGTATATAGAATGTAGCGGCCTGGGTAGCTTTCAGATCCCCGGTGCGAGAAACCACGAGTTGCAGGCCAGTCCAGACTACGCGAAGATTCCCTCGATTAAATCCTGCTATTGAGTACTACTTACTCTTTTCATCGTTCTAATGACTTTCTTTTACGAGCTGCAGCCTTCGAAGCCTGAGCTTTGGCGCCCTAGCAGCACCCGAAAGCGGTCGCTCTCGGAGCTTTGAATCGGCGCCCCGATTTTCCCGAGCCGAGGCCCTACATCCTGAGGTCCTAGACCCCCTACTCCTCCACCCCAGAAGTCCTGAACTTCTCACCGTAACAGCTACCGAAGACCCTACACTGCTTACACTCTACAACCCTATTTCCTAAATCTTTAAACCCCGGAGGCACCCTTATCCCAAAGCGCCAAACATCAAAACGAACAAAAGCTGACCTGTCGGAAAGGCCGCGAAGAAGGCCACCGAACCGGCTAGGCAGCCAATCCTGAGCTTCAAAGAGTCTTGCGGGCTCAGGTCGCTTGTTCGGCTTTAGTGAAGTGACACAGACAGCTGGTACGCCCGGTGCTTCAGGGTTTAAGCTTTGGGATTTGGGCATTCTTTTGGCTTTTGGGGCTTCCTAAGGACTTCCAAAACTGGGTTTCCGGACTCTGCCTGTTGAAGTGCTCCTGCGAGCTGACGGGGCAGGATATGGGGTGTATAGCTTAGAACTCAGGAAAAAACGGCCTTCCAGGGCCCGAAGGTTGGCAAAAGCCCATCGGAGAACAAACACCACAAGAGCCACCAAAAACCACCGGAAACGGAAGTCGTCATTATCTGCTTCCTAAACCCGAAAGCCTTACCCCTTAACCCGAAACGCAGAACTCCGAGCCCTGAACCTTCAACCCTAACCCTTAATTAACCCTAAAGCCCAACAAACGTTTGCTATGGCAGCCGGAGCATCACAACGACGCGAGTCAAGTGCAGCCAGAGGCGATTTCTCGACCGTAACTTCTGCATCCCAAGCCTCGAGTAGCCGAAACAGCAACAAAGGCACAGTATACATATGCATAACCACGATTTTCCAACAATTCAATAAACAACAATAACACTGCTACTGGAAGAACAAATAACTCCTCACCAGCAACCAGAAGAAAATACATAGAGTTTGGGGACTCCTGGCAAAGATCCATATCCTTAAAGCCCAAAGCCTTTGGCACATAGATCCGGTCTACATCATGCCTTTGGCTTTCGGTAGGCTAGAAAAGGCCCGCTCGATCCCGCCTGTTTTTACCAGGTCTTCCTATGCCTAGGTCCAGGAGGGATCTAGGGCCTAGGATTGTTCTGATTCGTGCTTGAGTTAAGTTAAGCTTGGGCTTATGAAGTTTGGGAGGAGACAGGTGCTCCCTTCCATGATCTTGATGCCATGCAGCAGGCAGTTGCAGCAGTACTTGGCGCGCTCCTGCAAGACGCAGGCGTCTTTCCCTTGCGGGATTTTCCGTTCCTACCAACCCTAAGTTAACCGTCCCCACAGCTGTCCACAAGGAAAGCTTAGGTCCTCCAAAAGCAGAGCCCCAATCCGGAGCCCACATCGAACCCTAGACTAAGCCCTACAGGGGCCAACCTCGTGCACTTCTAGTCTGAGCCTGGAGTTTATGGATTGAAGGCTGAGATCATCTCAAGACTCTGAAGTACAGATCTGGCTGGCTTTAATTCCAGATTCCAGAACTGAAAGGGTGAGTTGAAATTCGCGGAGATTGGGATTCACTGCCTGAAACAGATGGACTCGTCCAAAAGGGCAAGTCACCTTGAGAAATGAGCCTGTCATCGATTCATGGATCAGTGAGCTCGTCATCCATGTCGGTATCGTGCTGTTTGTTGCCAGCGGCGTGTTGCCCGACATGGCATGTAAACAGCCTAAACAAACCATAAACCAAAACAACACAAGCGATCAACTTCACCAACGCCTTCGCGTGCCTGAACCCCCATAGATTGTCCCATGCTTTGGGCAGCTGAAGATCTCTCAGACCAGGTTGAAAACCCGGAACATGTAGACCCGAAACCTTAAACCCTATGCGACGGTCCCACTGGAAAAGGAGGTCGCTCTCCATCTCCAATCGCCCATACTCCTCGCAGAAGCATCGCAGATTTCTCCAAACTGGTTGACGTTCTGATTCAAGCAAGGGTTTCGTCTTCGTGTTTATTTCAAGGTCTGGACTCTACTCGCGGACAGCCCCAAATCAAACTTGAGGTTTCGAGTGTCGGAGTTCATGTCTGCTGACATCATGACCTGAGAATTTAATATTTTGGGGGCCGCTGATGTCTTGATCTGATTTTGTGGAATCTACCTTTCGAAAGCTACTGGTGCCATCTGCGTTTGGGGCTGAATGGTTGCTGGGACTGCAGATTCGTGGTTTGCGAGTTTCAAGGTCAAAACGCCTCCTATATAACTTCGCAGAGCACTTGTGAATGACTGCTGCTCGCATATCACAAGTCTCTCGAAGCTAGGAGATGCAATGCTCTCAGGCAGGGCTCATAGAACTGCAAAGCGTCCCAACTAACAAGCGGGCTGGATGCCAAGTACGATCACCAAGCCTTAGGCCTAAAGCGATTAGCATGAATTTGCCAAGCATCAACCCTCGGACTTATATTGTACCCCGTCTGCTGCGGTTTAGGCCTTCAGCATAAGAAGCTCAATATACCCTCAACAGTGGAGTGTGTACGTACCTCCGTACATGTATGCATGCGTACAGAAAGACAGACAGACATACATGCACCGGCATCTCTCGGAGGAGCACCGGCGACTTCACAGCCCCGGCACCCGCAAGAATAGCCGTGGACCCTGAACTAAAGGTGTCCAAATTAAAGCCTATAAGGCTAAGAGGTACACCTTGATGCCATGAGGCCCAGTGACGCAAAATTATGATCATGCCAGGGTGCCGTGCTGTAGATGGCAATGATCATGTTCAGAATCCTCGGTCTGTCTGAGTCTATCCTGAACACTGCTATTCATGACGTAACTGTGGCTACACTTAGATGGGTTCTGGGCCAGCGTCTGTGGGATTCAGTGTTGGCAGAGCTGTGTGCTTGAGACCCTGGAGGGGGTGTACAGTGTACAGCCAAGTTGCACGATGAAGGTCACCGTGCCCAGAATTGCCATAACAGTGAGAAGGGTCTTCAGAACCTCAGGCGAAGAGTGGTCGCTCACATAGGGCTTTGCGCTTCGGGAATGCAAGAGGTGAGAACCTCGACAACAACCCAGCATCTCCCACCGTCCACGCAAGGCGAACGCAGGAGGCACAACACATCTGGGAGAAGCTCCTTCCATAAACTACTATGAAAGTCCATGGACACAGAAACCGGGAAAGATGAGTTCTCAGAGCCTTGGGGCACGTAATCCTCACATCTTACACCCGATATGAACCCGTGTCAATCGTTGCTTTTGCTGCACCGTGCCTTCAGCGGGGATCATGTTGGGGGCGTGAAAAAAATCATGTGCCTTCCAGGGTTCTTACAATCTGGAGCTATGTATGGTTTTTAGGGTCAAGGCTGCTGTGAGGCATGAACTACTACTCAACCGGGCGGCTCTTAAACTGTACCACCAAAAACTCAGGTTCTGAACAACCAAACCCTAAACCCTAAACCCTAAACCCATACAGGGCTTCGGGCCTGTGGTGCCTTAGGATCAGCCCCAAGTGGCCTTGCTGAGAAGTCTCGCGGCAGGTTTCTGGCTGACCCCTCCAGGTCGAAACCTTGAACTTAGCCGAGGAGCATCCACGTCGGTCACACCTGGCAGTGCGGATGCGATGGAACACCTAGAATTGAGGCACTACCCCTAGGCTCCATAGTAGTTCCTTGTTGTGGTTTATATTTAGGATCTTATACATAAGGTAATCCAAAAGGAACTACCATGGAGCCCTGGGTACACTTGAAGAAAACTCTCCCCAAGGGATCCTGCGGGTCGAAATTATCTATGCTTTAGCTTTTCAGGAGGGATCCTCTCAGGTTGTAACACGCTTTCAGGGTTTAGTCAGCCCCTGTCGGCCTTGACTTGGGCCACAGGTATTTGGGGGGTTGCGGGTTGAGGGCCATAAGCTATGATAGAGCTTGGGATTGTAAAGAATGGTGTTGCAGCAGCAGGCTGCCCCAAACCCTAACCTCATACGGGTAGCTCGCTAAATTAGGGTTCCTATGGCACCCTTAGAAAAACGGACCCTGGCCCTGAAGGGGACCCCAAGTCCTAAGTTAGACGCCACACCAACAACGGCCTCGAACCCATGAACCCCGAGTGGCACAGGGCCCCATAAAACCTTCCAGACTGATCCTCATGGTTCGCTGCGTCCGGGCGACGTGGAATTTCGCCCCGGGAGAGCCCTGCATTCACAGGGCCCCCTAAACACTAAACCCATAAACCCATTTAAACCCTTAAACCCCAAACCCCACAACCCATTTAGACCCATGGGGGAAGTCTAAGGCTGGGAGCTTCCTGGCTTTTGCGCGGCCTGGAGCCATGGACACCTAGAGAACTAATCCAGTAGAAGTGTAGAATGTGGTTTTGGGTCCATCGCGATACTACTTTATCTGGGGGAGGCTCGGGCTTCGACTTCATGGAACTTTAGTTGTGGGCTTTGGCATTTGGGGATGCTTACGCTCTCGCAACTCGGACAAGACGAGATCTGACGGTTCGCACTCGGACGACAGGAGTGAGCCACTGTAGGTCAAAGTAGGGATGTTTGGGGTTTTGGGGTGTTCTGGGTTTGGGGCCGCCCTGGAAAAGGTTTGTATTCGGTGACATGAGGCTTGGAAGTTTCAGGCTAGCTAGTGAGAAAGACAGGACATGCAACGACACGAGTTCCGTAACCGCCTTGGTGCTGATTTTTCACCCCCCCCCCCAGACTGAAGCTTGGGCGTAGAGCTCTTGATCATCGGTCGCGACCTCTGCTCGCAGGTGCAAAAGCGCGGCTCAACCTCCAAAATGGCCTCATACTCTCACAACCAACTCGACCTTTGAAGATACTTCGCCCTCACAACCAAGACCAAACCCACAAAGCCGAAGCGCACAGGGCTTGAGAGATGAAGAGATTAAACCGTCCTCTTTTAAAGCCATTCTGGCTTAAATTAAGCCCCTTTGCCTCAACCTTGAACCCTCAACTCTAAAACGACTCTTACAAGGCCCTAGACCATAAACCCTCAACCCCTGAACCCCCCCCCTATAGCCCCAAAACCCTCAAGCTTCCCAGCCCTTAAGGCCTTCGATCGCAAAGCCCATGTTATCCAGCCCGGCTCCATCGCCAAAGATGAGGCCACGATACAGCGACCTCCGAGCTTCCAGCTTCCACATCTCCAAACGCTGACCCCTAAACCCTGAACCCTATGAACCTAAACGCCCTAAACCCTAAAAGCCCTAAACCCTAAACCCTAAACCTGAACCCTTAACCCTAAACCCTGAACCTTGAACCCCGTCCTTATAAGTTTGCATCAGCGCCTTGGAGGGTTTCATTGAGATTTTCGTAACAGGGCTTTCCAGGTGGTTTTGGCTTGCTTTGTACTTTAGGTCGCTTTCCTTATAGAATTAGGATCTTAGACTGCTCAGGGTCTACAGTCGCATGCCCTTGCTTTTTTGGACAGTAGAATCTAGAGTCCAGGAGGCTAGGAAGGGCTTCCAGGAAATATCTCTAACGAAGACGCTTCGGTTACGGGCAAGTTTGTGCTTTGAAGTGCGGGTTTCGTCATTCTGTTGGCCAGTTTTGGTGGGGCAGGGTAACTAGCCACGGTTTAGGGTTTAGGGTTTAGGGCCTGCTTGAACTCGAAAAAATGCTACGATTTTTCTCAGCCGAAGGTGCCAGCTGACGATGCCAACGGCCACGCTCCGGTCGAGCATTACGGCAGTGAGGGCGAAGGCCAGAAAGAAAAGGCAGAAGATCAAGAAACTCGGTGGACAGTGTAGGGATTAAAACGGGGGAAAAGTAGGGATTTATGAATGAAGGCGGGCTGAGGGTCTGCGGGTTTAGTCTGGCTGCTAGGATCATTCAGAGTCTAGGAGGCTACGGAGGGCTGTAATTGGGGGGCGGGGGGGGCAGAGATGGCATGACCTTAGCCCCTCCAAGCTTTGCTCTCTGCGTCAAGGAGCATCTCCCGCATTGCGCCGCTAACGAGAGTCTTTATCCTCAGCTCGCGACTAGGATCGTTCGTGGCTGCTTTGCGCAAGAGTTTGCCGGGGGTTGCAACACAACTTAAGCTCCAGAGGGACTCAGATTTTGGGCTGTGCTTGAGTCGTTGGGCTTGATTCCCGTCTCCTCCACGTTCTAAGCTTTCGGATGAAAGGGCTGTTAGAGTCAAACTTGGGACAGCTTCGAGTCTTTGAGTTTCATGTCCGCGGATATCTAATTTATAAAGTGGCAGAGTAGGATGCTCTGGCGGTTTGACGCTCATAGGCACGGATGCACTAGTGCACAGGCCGCAAGACGACCGAAGCAACAGCATCCTCTGCTGGTCAGCAGATTCACACATTGTCTCCACGAACCTCCCAACTCTAGAACGCACTATCAAAACCATCGAAGATATCTCAGCTATTCTGTAAACACAGTCTATCGCATATGCCTGCAGAACTGTACGCATAAACTATAAGGATCCTGCACTTCAAGTAACCGGTACCCCGTGTTAGGGGGATTACAGAAAGCTGAGTTGTGAGATGCTTCGCCTTGCGCTTTTTTGGGGGCCTCAGGCTACCGGATTCCTGCGCCGAGTCTCAGGACCAGGATCTTCTTCCCGCCAAAGGAGCTGACGCGCAGCATGTAAATCAACTTTACCTCATGCTCCAGAAACCCGGAGGATGGAGCATTTCGGATAACCTGGTCATAGGACTCTTAAGAACCCTCATAGGAGCCTTAACCGTGTTCTTTGGTTAAGCCTACAACACAATTCTCAGCCAAGGAGCACAGTGCATGAAGAAGCACACCGCCAACAGCGCCTGGAGCAAGATGTAAAATCTGAGTCTTACTGCAGACTACGGTTTAGGCCAAGCTTTGCACTCTTTGTTGGAGGTCGTAGGGTGTGGGCATTAGGGTGGGGTTTCGGATTCAGATGGTATCGAAACTTGTCATATACAGCGGCAGCGCAGGAGTAGCAGCACAAGAAATCGTAAGAGTTCGTTGTAGTCACTGTGGTCGTCGTGGTCGTCCTCGTTGTCGTGTACTTTCTCTGCCTCGTCGTCCTCATCCTCATCGTCCGCAACAGCGGCTGCAGCGGAAGTAGACATAGTGGCAGCAGTACAAACAGTGCTTGCCTTTTTGCTGTTGGTGTCGTCGTGGTGGCAGTTCTCCCTGCTGTTGAAACTGTCGTGAATCTGCGTTTTTTCTTATGTCGGTCTGATCGTATGAACATTAATCAAACCACACTTTGGGCTGTGCGAGTAGTGTGACTCTCAATCCCGAAGGGGCCCTAAGTACCTATGTGGGGAATTCTTGCCCAAACCAGAATAGATATTCTCAGTACTTACTTTGGTACTGGAGGACCCGTTGGGAATCTCCTTGATGCATCGTTCTATAGCGATGACTTTATATGCAGATACATCCGTGGGTCGAAAACGGTTGAATCTCATGCCTGCGGGTAGTCGGTCATCTCCCGACCGCAGTCCGACGAGCATTGGACGCTGAGCAAGAAGAACGTCTTCAGCAGGCAGAGAATCCTCGGCCGTCAAAGCAGCTTAACACTGGGCTGTGCTTGGAGGCCTTGTAGTCACATATCATAGTCACTGTACTGAGCAAGTTGGAAGATGGTCTGTTCGGACCCTCACGTCCGAACTCTCCTACGCCACACACCCTAGGCCCGAGGTCCTCGTTAGCTTGCCTAGCGCTTATAGGCTGCAGAGTCGGCAGAGGTGTGATATTCTGATGTTGTGTTGCCTTAGTCTTTCGTCGAGAAAACACGGTTTCTGCGTGTCTTCGGCCTTTTCGGAACCCGCACCACAAACGTCGTGTGGACCGGGCCAGGGCTGCCAAAGACCCCACGTAGAAGTATCCTCCAGGCTGAGTGCAAGTGTGGACATCATACCGCGGCACGGAAACCGACTGCTTTGCAAGAGCAGTCTCTGGAGCAAATAATCCGAAACCGTCACCGACCTCTGCAAAACGCTGAAAGTCACCAACTCTCATCAGCGACCCTGCCCTAAGCAGCCGCGCCACATCTCGGGAGTGTTGGTGTTATGGCTCAAGTCGAAGATTTTCATGGGATGCCAGAGAGCATGCAGGCCAGAGCGCCTCAAATGCCACGTGTGTCTCGGCCAAGGCTTTACGGCCTTGTGGCTTCCTAAAAACCCTAAACCTCTAAAACCCCTAAACCCCTAAAGCCCTAAAGCCCTAAAACCCTAAGCCCCTAAAGCCCTAAACCCTAAAGCCCTAAACCCTGAACACTACTTCAGGCTCAGGGTCTAGATTAGCTCGGACATTCCAGATTCCAAGCGAGGGACCGAGGACAGGTACAAGCAAACTCCCAACGTTGTTCCCACCCGCCCAGCTGGCAATATCGCACCCCAGGGAGTTCATTGGACTAGGGACTCGAGAGAAAAAAGGACACTCCCAGCATTAGGGCTTAGGGTTTAGGGATACACTGAGAACCTGCTAGTGGGCAATTGTAGCAGTCAGAGCAGAAAGCCTGCAATCATCTGGTAAAGTTCGGGCCTGCGGCTATACTAATTATCGCACACATTCTGTGGCCACACAGGCAGGGAGGAATAGGGCCAATAGGGAAGATGAGTGGGGGAGACGGGACACCTCAGGAAATGTTTGCAGCAGAAATCTCCCAGTCAAAACCTTGATACTTCCATGAACCCTAAAAACTCCACAAGCCCTCCAATACCCTTGTGCAAACCCTTGACAACCGTGACGTAAGCCTTTAAACTGCACTTCTGCCGAAGCCATATAAAGTTTAACCTAAACCCTAAACCCCTAAACCCTAAACCCCTAAACCCCTAAACCCCTAAATCCCTAAACCCTAAACCCCTAACTCAAAGCCTTCTTTGCAGAGCCAGGGGCAGCTCCTGCACCCGAGCCTCTGCGGAGTACTCCCGCAGAGAGTGTTGGCTCTGATGCCTGCGACGCAGATGTCTGGTTCAGGCCTCTTTTTTAGGGTTTAGGGTTTAGGGTTCAGGGCTTTGGGTCTATAGTGTTTACCAGGAGTTTCTCGAGTTGTTTGGAGCGAGCTCGGCGTGGTTTCAGGACGTAGGCTACGCAAATGCTTGATAGTTATTCGGGCTTCTTTGTGAAGTCAAGACAGGGCTGGCTTTTGCCTGTGGGGGTCCGCCGGTTACTGGGGCTTTGGGTTCAGGACTCTCACTCTCGCACAATGCTGGCAAGGCTGAGGGGTTTATGGTTCAGCTTTTGAGTTTAAGACCTTGAGGGACTACCGCAGCAGATGATCCGTGGCTCGGAGCTGCAAGACCTGTACTATCTCGCGACTGAATTCGCATTCGCTAACCTGACAAGCTCAACCCCAAAGGTCCCCTTCCCCAACCGTTTCCTTGGCCATTGCCTTGGACCGGAAACATCTTCATTCCCTTCTCGCTTTTGGCGCTTCGGGCCGAGAGCAAAAGCCCAAAACACCGAAAACCTGTCGTACACATTAGACTAGACATTCGCTGCTGTGAGCTACGGGTACTGCCTTAGCTACTGCAGTGTGCTGCGAACCTCATCCACTTTCGGCAAAGCCCGAACAGCCACCATCCGATGTTGGCGACGTCACCTCGATGAAAAGCGGGGCTTGCCCACAAGACCTACGGTTGAAAGGTGATATATATATATATATGTATATTATCTAGGGAAATCGTGATTCAAGATACCCAAATTGGGTGAAGGTTGGGCCCGCTTAGGATGCGGGGCCGAGTATTTTTGCCTCCCACCTAGCTAGGACGAGCCCGAGTTAGAGGTTGAGGGTTTAGTCTTAAGTTGAAGGTTGCGGGCTTCATGCTTCATCTATGCCGTGATGAAAGCTTTGTGACTGGGTTTAGCGCCCAGTGTGGATCTAGAGTTGAGCTGCAACTGCATTGACAACCTTCATCTGATCTGGAACCATCCTTGCTCTTGCGAAAGCTGCGCATACCAGGTGGTCTGTTTCAGCTACATTCCAGCACAATTGCTGCAAGTGCAAGCTGTGCCATACGTCACCGGTTCGAGACCAGAACACAAACGTACATATAGTCAATAGCGGCACACTTGGAGCAGCAAAGCAGAAATCGGTTGGCATTCACCCAAGCAGTCGACGGAATCTCGAGCATCTGTGCATTTGGAGGAGAAGCCTTTGGAGGCGAAAGGCCTCAAGCTCAGGCCCTTCGGTTAGTGGGATGTACCATGACTATAACGTCTTGAAATCTCCAGAAAGACCTTACAGTTTCTCGAGGCGCCATGGACAGGGAGTATGAGTATCCATGATAGCTCTTCGGGCTGCCTCAAGGTCTCTCCTTCGCCACCAGGCCGTCCCAAAAAACCCACCCCTTTGCCACAGAAACCGAGAAAGGAAACCCAGAAAGCTCGAAGTTCCGACACCCTAAACCCTCAACCGTGGCTCGCCAAGCAGTAAGAGAAGTTTGTATACCCTCTGTATAATTAATTCATGATATATACCCTCTGTATAAGTTATGCCATCATACCCCACGGAAGCATTTTCCAAGTGCTAAGGCCCAATGGTTTGTGGCCAAGCGTCGGAGGAGTCCTGCCAGTAGAAAGTTGGCGAACCGGGGATGCTGCAAGCTCGAGTACCTCCCTTCCTCCTGAGGAAAGCCGAGGTTTGTCACCTTTTTTTTTGGTAACGACTGGTTAAAGGGTCTAGGTACCAACATGGCACCCGGGATAACCCGAAGTAGAGTGTGAGTGCCCCTCTCTGGGAGATGTTGCGCGTCTTGTGCTGCCCCTCTTCCGGCTCCCAGGGTGTCGAGCTACAGGGGTTTAGGAAATCTGGACCTGCCCGAAACCCGACCCTCTCTCTCTCTCTCTCTC